TCATAAAGTCCAATTTAGGATCAGATATGAGCTATCAACAGGTTAGAGAAAAGGTTTAAACACTGTTAAGATATAACTCTCTTTTTCTCTCTGTTTGCAAAGACACTACATCCAAACCACTACAGTACATGAGCTAGAAACCAACGGTTTCAGGCAACGAATAAAAAGATATTAGAACATCTCCGGTTAACTCTTATTTAGGTCAAACCCTGAAGGCTGATCTCATCAGTCTACTTTCCTCTCGAATGGCGACGGCAAACGCTTAGCACGCACGTGGCTGTTCTCCAACCCTCTCTACCTCTTTCCCCGAGAATTTCCCCCTGTTCACTTAGATACAGCTTCAGAATTCTTCTCAACACCCCAGGAGCTACAACCAAGCTATTGAAGTTGGCACGTGAGATTAAACTTGATTTAACATCTGCTCTAAAACCAATATTAATAGTATTATGGGGAGGGGGGCGGCGGCGGTGCAGGAAAAAATACAGACATGCTTATACTGCTAAAACCCAGGAGGAGAGATTGTGTAAGGGGCAGGGGGAGAAAAGATGAGAAAGACGCAGAGAAGAGGCTAGCACACTCGGATATACAGTCTGAGTTTCAAAATGGAAACCATGCATTTTAATTAGAAGCTACTGCTACGGCCGCTTATAATACGGGATTTCTTCAGGAAGCTGTGTTTTTTTCCCCCTTAAAGAGAAGAGTAAGCATGGCCCGCTCTGGGAATACATACTGCCCAGAGAACACAGGGGTGTCTGGGTGCTGTGTGTGTGGAGGAGGGTGCCAAGATTGTTCTGCAGAAGCAGGTGGGACCCGGCCTGCGCACAGCGTTGGCGAAGCCACACTAAGGCGTGCGGGCTGTCCTTCGAGGGCAGGGAGCAGCCACTGATGGTGTGGTACAGGGCCCAGGACAGACGATGCCCAAGAAAGGTAGAAAGATGACTGGTGTGGAGAATGGGTTTGGGTGGCGGACGAGACTGGCGGCAGCGCGAGCCAGCGTGGAGGAGGCTCGTGTGGGGAAGTGGCCCTGGGCTACTCGCCTTAAGACCAGCAGCTGGCACAACCTGATGAAGAAGCGGGTGCGGGGAAGCGAGAGGGAGAGCAGCTCAGCTTCCGGCTTGCGAAACTGGGTGCTGAAGGGACCATCTCCTCAGGGAGCAAAGCGGGGCTGCAGATGGTGAGTTCGATCTGGGACACAAGTTTAAGGGCCTGTGGGGCCTGCGAGTGGAGAGCGAACAGGCAGCTGGCTGGACCTCCAGTCCTGGGTCTAGACGTGGACATTGGGAGCATGGAGATGGGCGTCTGGGGAAACCAGATGCCCCAGGAAACCGTGTGGAGGAAAAAGACAGCCAAGGACAGAAGCCCAAGGTCCATCAGCATTTAAGAGACAGGCAGAGGACAGGTGTCTGTCAGGGAAAAGGAACCACTAGGAGGGTCGAGAAAACCCAGAAGCACATGGCCCCGCAGCCGAGGGGAGAGGGTGATGCCAGACGCGGGTGGCAGTAGTTCTGATTTTGAGGGACACCAGAGAAGGTCAGGCTGGTGTTCTTGGAGAGAGAGGTTTCAGGGAGTGGTGGGGACAGTGCCAGATTTTAGTGGGTGAGGAGTAGGTGGGAGATGGAGAAGGGGAAGCACTTAGATTAAAATCTAGGTAGACATGTAAGGTGGCTTCTCACAGCACAGTTTGCTAAGGGGTAGAAGGCAGAGCCCTGAGCCTTCACCTTGTCAATGTGCAGGTAATTATTAAAGTGTAAATGGACGGCCCCTCTCACAGCTCCCCACTGTCCTCCCCAATAATATAATCACAGGAGTGTTCCTCTCCGAGAGTAATGACCATTTGCATGAGTGGCGGGTGGGGGTGGGGTAAGAGTCATTGTTTTGTATTGTAATTCAGCATGTTTACAACCTCTTCTGCAAGAAAAGGGGAGAAGAATGTGAAGATCCTCAAACTTCAGAGCCACGCCAAACCCCAGAGCCACCAGCAATCCTGGTGACACAAGCTCTGTCCCGAGTGTCCCAATCCAGACTGCCACCGGATTGGAGGCCAGCGAGCGAGCGGGGAGGGGTTTTCACGTGCGTCCTCAGCACAGGAGACCAGCAGGGGGACACCCCAGGCTGCCTGCCAGCAGGGAGAGAGGGGACCCAAGAGGAGAGGATGGAGAGAGGGTGGAATCATAGCCGGCTGGTGGCCACGGGCGACAGCCACTCTCTATTCGCATGTCCTGGTATAGGACCTGGGGGCCACCTATGAAACTCCATGGAAGTCACATTAAGAAATTAGGTCAACCCAGGTTTCTTTCCCCTCCCCTCCCAAGGAAGGCTCCATGTTAACTGCCTCCGAGTAGAGGAAGGGCGAGTTCTCTTCGATCCATCGCCACATCTTAGAAGAGGCCACCGGGTTAGACGCGGACTTGTCTCCCCTAATGCGGTCGGT